CTCTCTCTCTCTCTCTCTCTCTCTCTCTCTCTCTCTCTCTCTCTCTCTCTCTCTCTCTCTCTCTCTCTCTCTCTCTCTCTCACTCTCTTCTCTTCCGGCGCCGCGGGACGTACATATCTAGCTCACTATACTTGCGCCACTGCTGTATCCTCATAGCTCTCTCGCTCTCCTCGCACAGACCTCGAAGGATCGCAGTTCTGCGCGATATCCTGCATATCTCGGCATACCGTCCCCGTCGTTTCCGACATTGTTCCCTCGGCCCGCCCCCGCACGGCCCCCGGCTCCGAACCCGGACGCGGAATAATCCCACTCGTTCGACGTCTACCGGGCCCGGCTTCCCGGCCGGATTCCAGTCGATTCTGGTACCGAGCTTGTGCAGGGTGAGAAGCCCCGGCATCGGGCATGATAATTGGATGCTTTTCCGCTCACCCATCCCCTTCCTCCCCGTATTACTGTTTCCCGAAAAAGCATCGCATGAAGAATCGCTTGTAGGTCATGCTGATTGAAAAAGCGCATTACATTGATACAAGATCAAAGGAGCGATCTGTCTATATCTTACAAATTTGCAAATATAATTGCTAGGAAAATATAAGCCTTATAATAAAAGAAATATTACTTTAAATTATTTAATTATAAGTTAAAAGAGCTTTTATTTACCTATATATATAGCTATAATGATTAATTACCAAATAAAATATTTTATTTATTTTATTTATATATAATAAACAATTAATATAAAAAAAACATAATAAAATACATAAAATATACATCACAACGTAACAATATTTTATTTTCGTATAGATTTTATTTAATTTTGTAATAAATTTAATAAGATCTACACGAAAGTTTCCTTTATATACTTTTTATCGACATTTCGCTCAAATATTTTTCTTTTCCTTTTAAAATATACATACGGAAACTAAGCACCGTGGCAGTTCACGAGCTTATGAGAAAATCCCGTAATGTGAGAACAACGCGATAGTTGCTCAAATTTTCTCCGGGTTATCGCAATGAACCGTGTGTGTGTGTGTGTGTGTGTGTGTGTCCATCACGCGTTCACGTCGCGATTGTCCCCCGGTAATGTCGAAATGCGTTTGTTGAATATTCAATGTCCAGTATCCGACTCCCGGGAGAGACGATGACCATAAGCACTGGATTCTATTAGCAAACAGTCACGAGAACAATGGTGCGTCGTCGATTCCGTCGATATACAAGCGGCGAGTCGATGATCGAGCCCGATAAATGCCGGCCACCTTCCTTCGGCACATTTCACGGCGAACGTCCGTCCCGGGATACTATTCGCATATCTAAATCCCGTAGAACGTCCCTGTCCGTACAATTCCCAGGATTGTTACCAGTCCGCAGGACCACTTGCCGCTAAACTCCTTGGTGCATGACCGGCCCTTAATTCGTCGAGAACGCCGTACGTGAGCAAACAATGTCAGATCCAAAACATTCGAAATGCGTCCTAGGTTTTTTTTTTTAATCCTCCGGCCAGATATACCGAAGATTCTGGCCGGAGTCACTTTTGAAAGGACGTGCTTTATTCGCCATTTATTCTTATTTATTATTTCTTTAATTCAAAACTGCCCGCACGCCTGTCTCCTTCACAAGCTATATTTTAACCTATTATTATGGCATTAATTAAAAATATTACTTTCTTTTCGTTTAGAATAATCCTTCTTTAAGATTATTAATTTAGTGAAAAGTTTACTAAAATATTTACAAATATATCGTTATGAGAGAATTTGAATACTTAAAATCTTTTATATAATTTAATATTTTGATAAACAAAATCCAAAGTAGATTTGAAGAATGTACGACAGCACGTCCGACATCGACGAGGATTTCTTCGACGCATTAGCGCTTTTGCACTCAACCGAGCAAAACAGTGCGGAGAAGCTTCGTCGGATGCTGGACGCTTGCATCGAGAGGAAATACGGTCCCGAAAAAACTTTGGCCGCTAGAATGCCGAAGAGATTTTTACGAAACGTCGACGAATCCATACTTCTGACACAAACCTCGAAGAGACAGAAAACAGGACAAAGCGCGAAAAAAAGCGAATTCTGGGACAATGATCTCGAGATCATTTCTCTTCTCGAAACCAACGAGGCAAAGAACATGGGGGAGAACATCGGGAATCATCGGACATTTGACATAAAAGTGTCCGAGGACTGCAAGGACGAGGAGGACATTCCCAGGATCTCGATTCCCGACGAAGGATCCGCCGATGGAATTGTGTGCAAGGTTTCTCTCAATTAAATCCAGTCGATTTATTTTAATTTTTCTGTAGCTTTGTGCGTGTGCGAAATCGCGAGACTGATGCGATTGCGTGACTGCCGTCGAGAGTCGCCGCGCTATTTGACTTGTATAAATGAATCGTGACATCTGTGGTGTATATAAAATCAAAGATCTGTAACGGCGCGAAACTGGGACCTCTGATCTTGTTGGAGTGCCAGGAGTGTCAGGAGACTTATCATCCCCTGTGCCATCAACCCCCGATCATCGACGTCGACGTTTACGACCCTAGATTCGTGTGGCGGTGCAACCGGTGTATCGAAACCCCATCGGCAACTCCTACGAGGGTTAAGGGAACTATGGAAAAGGGACCCGTGGGGATAGTTCGAGCAAATAGCGACACGGTCTCTAAAGAGGATGCGAACATTGCGGAATTGAAAATACCTGAAAAAAGAGATGGTGATTTATTTGGGAAAAACGGTACGCCGATAAATATTGATCTTGATATATATTTTTTTTCAATTTTTCACGAATGAGTCTTTGCGCGTTTTTAATTAATATATATTTTTAGGCATGAATAGGCATGAATATGTTTTACGTAGGAATAATGTCTGACATCACGTACCTTTTCTCAAATTAATTATAAATACTTAAGTTATAATCGATTACTACCAAGATAATTTTTCATTTAATTTAAAGTATATTTTAACGCTATTTCATTTTTTATACTTAGAAAAAGCTATTAAAACAGATATTCAATAATATTTTTGTACTCAATCAAGTTGCTTTGAATCGATCAATAATTTACAATTGAAAAAAATTGCAAGAAAAAGTAGCGAGAAATAATGAAAAAAAATGACACGTATATTGGAAACAAAATATAATATATTGAGATTATCTATATAAATATATTAAATAAGACTTAAACAAATTATATAGATATAAGTATTACGTATCGAAATCTTGGAAAATATAAAAATTATTTTATCATTCATAAGCAAGCTTTTACGTAAGAGCAAGTCAACCTGGGTGACCTAGTAACATTAAACAAATGGACAAACGCTTGAACCCACCTGTCCAATTTGACTGAACTTTTCGATTTAATAAAAAATTTTAAGTATGAAAAAAAATATATATAGTTACAGATTCGTCGATAGAAAACAAAGACGTAAAGTTACACGATTCTCCATTATCCGGAAAGGACTTGACGAATGTTTCACAGAAAAACGGAAATTTATCACTCTCTACGCGAAAGAGGATTGGATCTAAACTTTCTGTTATTCGTATGTCAATGAAATAAGGAAAATGCAAATTTGATGTTCCCTATGTATTATATAAAAATAATATGTAAAATACCAAGAATATGATAAAATATATTTAATTACATAAAAATGAAGAATTGAACGGATATAATTTTGAAGGTAATAATAATCTTTAATAACGAAAAGTAAGAAATTAATATATCATATCAATCACCGTGCTTATGTTGTTGGTAGTATATAGACTTTGACATGTTAAATATTTTAAACTATCAGAATTAATTTCAGTTTCTGTAAGAACACGTGCTAATTGAAGTTGAAGAAATGTTTAGTTAGCGAGGTTTAATGAGAGCAGATAATGTTGACTGTATACGATAGTTTTTATTTTGACAATCGTTCGTTACGCGATACAAGTAGAAATCATTCTTGTCCTGATCGAAATCAGTGTTTTAATCCGTTACAAGTCATCACATACACAGAAATACACTTTTTAATCACAGTATAGGGCACCCGCCCTAAACCGATTACAAGAAATATACATTATATTACAAAGTGATCGTATGCTCATCGGAAATACATCATATCGGATAAAGCTCGACCAATTATGTGTATGTGTACGTGTATGTGTGTGTGTGTGTGTGTGTGTGTATATGTATCCATATTCGTGTATAGGAAAATACAGGTATTTATATAGTGACGTAAACTCAGTAGCCATATGAACAAAATGTTCGAGCCTTTGTCCAATTTTAGGCACGGCCGAAGAAAGCGACTTGTTAAATTTGGTTACGCGGGAGAACGACGAAAATTCTCGTTTGTATCACACGGTAGCCATTTAATCGTGCTCATTTATTCCCTTTACATTAAGGTCAACCGAGTTCAATTATCTTCGGCAATGCGGCAGGTTTTAGTTGGATTCGAGGCTCGAATCTGCCCTGACTTTGATTATAGTACACGGAACTATGGCAGAGATGAAAGAGATATCAGTGACGTCGAGCGCAAGTTTATTTTCGACACTGCGGAAATTTTTAATTTGGATTTGGAATGTCTTAAAAAATTTGCCGCAAGTAGAAAGTAATCATATGAAGAGAGAAACTAACATATCTAATAATATAACATGCAGCAAAAATTATATAAATAATAAATTTTCCTGGATAAAATTTCAAAAAAAATTAGATCAGATTAAAAATAGATTGTAAATAAAATTCATAAAACTAATTAACTAGAGATATATTGATTTCAATCAATTCTTTATTTTAATTTATAATTTATAATTTATTAATCGATTAAATATTATCAATTAAAATATAAGAATAATGAATTCTGTGATAATATACAATTAAAATTTTTGGCATTTTTTACTTAAATATAAATAGACTACGTACAGTTTGAATCCGAAGGAAAGTGGAAGAATAGAGTATTCGGAAAATTTATTTAAAAATAAATAAAACTTAACTTGTGATTCGGAATACAACATTACTTTGTGCTTATTATCACAGAATCGTCAATTACGCAAACAACATATAACGGGAACGCGCAGTTCCTTCTTGAGATCGTAGCATTTTATCGATATATAATTTCAATATATTATGTAAATTAGAAAAAAAATGTTTTAGTAGCAAAATTATTTCGAAAAATACGAGTCGCAGAAAAAATGACTGCAACTCGACACGTGAGTATTCGTATAAAGCTTGCTTCAAACTTGTGTTACGTTTAAATATAATTAAATTACCAATAAAGGGAGAATTTTACTGTCTGCTTAACATACACTCTGTTGTTTGTACAAGATAACTGTATTGTGTTAGCATTATTTACAGCGAAATAAAAGAGAGCTTCGAATCTGATAGAAATTCCTGATAGATATGTTTAGTCATTATCGCCAATGTAAAAGTTTATATGACGAAATCTTTAAATATGTTTCAAGAACTTTCATTTTTAAAAGCTGCTACTGTAAGTGCGTACTTGTCTTACAGAAGTAAAAAATTATTTTCAAAGGAAGTAACAGCGAATGATTTTTCTTACTATTTTTTTTTGTTTTTAACATTTAATCTTGTTAATTTTTTCAAATCACTCCGAGGGTGTACTAATATCTTAATAATAAATTCATAAGTATCAATAAATTACAATCACAAGAAACAATAATTACTAAATAAATGTTTAACACAGCTCTCTTTGGAAGTATTGTTTTACAATACTAGCGGTTCTAAAATTAATTGGTGGGATTGTACCGTCCCCGTGTTTTTTAACACGTAATTTTTAAACCTTTCATAAAACGAAAAATTAGTAGGTAAAACTTAATTACCAAAACTTTTCATTTTGCAGCACTTTTGGAACTCATTTCTGCAAGTTAAATCTACATTTCTAAAAAAAATTTTATATCTTTTATATTTAATCTATGCTTATAATACATGTACGTAAAAGTAACACTCAATATACCTCTCAATGATTCGCACATTCGTTATTCGTCAACTAAAAGACATATAGAGATGCATCATAAATCGGATATCTTTAATTATAGATTCTAGGAATTCGAAAATAATAATTTTTCAGAGAGAACAAATTAATTTATATAATTGCGGAATCTTTCATTTAAATCAAATCAATTAAATTAAATTAAATTAAATTAAATCAATTAAATTAAATTTTCAATTAAATTTTATAGATATAGATATAGAAAATGGTTAAAGATGATAACTACAGCTTGAAGCTTCACATTTAATTTCTGTAAAAACCTTGAATAAATTTTTACTAGAAAGTAAACATTTTTTTTTTTACTACAAGTTCCTTTAGGAATCTATAAAAAAAGTACATAATTTTTCATATACATATATTCCGAAAATATTAATTATAAATCCACGATCCGTTGGAATGAACACGTTCCATTATGATCAATCTAATCGTATTGATGTTCGTCGATCTTTGTTTCTCAAGAATAAAGGATATATATAATGGAGAAAAAATTCTACGAGTGATTGCTACAAATGTATTAGAGGAGCGGTGATTACAAGTGATTGCAAGCGCAAGTGATTCATTAATGATCTCTAAAGTGATCATTAATGAGTAGCGTTACCGGCGTGAAATTCCACGATAAATCTTTAGCGCACCACTTGGCACGGATTAGCATCCGATAACGGTACCGGTAACTCGAACGCAATTGCCGCATGCATTTACTTCTTCCTTTATCGTGATAATGTACAAAAATGAGATTCCAATTATAATAGGAGACGTCGAGACGTTACGCTCGAGTGACCGCGTTCGCAGCATGTGCAGAGGAAACGAAAGCGCTACTTATTCGTGATAATTATATCGAGAATTATCTAACGAGAATTATCTAAAACTATTACCTCTCTCTCCGCGTGACTATTTATAATAAATGTACTTGCGGGGAAACTAGCGTTAAATATCGACTATTCACTTCTTCTCTCCTTTTTCTTTCTTTTTTTTTTCCCCAACAATGGAGTACGAGAAATCTTAACAAAAAAATCATCATATCAAAATATGCTACAATTACAATGTTCGTGTGTAAAAATGTGCAAAAATGATATCGTTTAACTGCGAGTGCTATCTAGAGTCACACTGACACTATCAGCCTTCTACAACAAAATCCTAAGAGACACATTGCGATAATCATCTGCTTGTTTTACAATAAACATTAAAACATTTTGTTTATTGGTGTAATAGCGAGGGCTGTTCCACGCAATCTTGGGATATTGCAGTTTCGATTTCCCTGCCAGTCTATTCTCGCACGCACGCAACTTCGTCTCGATCTTTTAATCGTGGAACTTTCTCAACAGGAAAACATACCCAAGATTTTCGGAAGATACTTTATAAAAATTTCATCGCACAATTTCTAATAATTTCAAATAAATACTTTAAATAAAATGTGTTTTTTTTGTAAATCTTATCTCCGGACCTATTGAAATTCCTATTCAAAATCTATCTTCATTAATTCACATTTCAAAATAAACATCACATCAAAAATTATTTAAGTTTATAATAAAGCAGTTTATAATAAATCAAAATATCACCTTTAACTAAGAACGATTTAAGAGAAAAAATTTTATACAATGTTCTCCAAAAATCGTGCACATGTTATCTATATACTTTAAACAAGAGATGAATGGGGGTTTCAGTCATAAAATTTGATAGAAACTCTTTTAACATTTGTCTTATAAACTCACATGAGATATTTAGATATTGATCTTACCTTGAACGCACGCTGGTCCAAATGCAATCCTCGTGTAACCACATCCATGTGTAACACGAATGCGACTGCTTTAATCGTCAGTGTCTCAGTAATTGCTATATTATTAAACTATCGTATACTACATACAAACATAGGAGCGATTATCCTACGTTTGCAATTACGTAACGTTTGCAATTAGTAATGCCGAATTGAGCGGCGCGTGAATATTAGCTGATTTTATTATCTTTCAAAATCTATACAAGATGAATTAATCTCTTACAAGGTGAATGAGAATTAACGATATTCATTACGATTTTCATTGTAAAGTTTGCCAACAAGACACAACCGTACAATATCTTTGCAATAATTCAAAGTTGAATATACGTTCATTTGATGAACTCACGATTATAATATTTCGAAGTCCGTTGAAACGTAAATATAGATTTCTTATAGTCTAATTTCAACTTATCAGATAAAATAGGAGAATCATATAAAGCGAATAAAAGCTCGCGACTAGAATTAATACACTCGACTAGAGTTCTCACCTTGCAAAAGTCTCTATAAAAGAAGATTCAAAAGTCTTCACAAGTAATCTCATACGTTGCGAGTAATAACATTCGATCTAACGTTAAATGCTGTTTGTATGTAGGATACTTTTTTCAACTATGATTTATTATGATACTCTATTACTAAACGATATTAAAAGGCCGTTACATATTTCATCGTTTTGAAAGTAACCAGTGCCACACTTTGGAAGCGCTAGATATTCCATTTTCATTTTTTTTTTTTCGGATATCCTTTTTTCGCATATTTTACTTTTACACTCGAGATTATTGGTCGAATGTCATAGTTAATATAAAAGTAAAGATAAAAATGGTATCGATAGCTCATAAATATCACGAGGGACAAATTAGATTAATCTCAAGAGCGGAACACAATATAATCGTAAATATCATAAAACTGAGACAATCATGATATCGTGTATCATGTTATGTGCCAAATTTTTACCTCTCGAAAACCACGATTCGTAGCACTTCCATGCAGAGGCAATAGGCACTTCAACGTGACGATGAGATTGACGAATTATCCTAAAAGGTTAATCTATTTTCACAGCAGGTAAACCGTGACCTACGACCAGTTGCTCTTTTGGAAAGTCCAAAACCACAGTGATGTGAAAGCCCATATTTGCAAAAGCTATCACGTACTCACATAGCGAAAACCAACTAAATGCTGCTCAAAATAATAGAAAAATATTATTTTCCTATTACACTTACGTACAAATTGTAGCGAATATAACATTTTGTAATTTGTAATCTTGTTTCTTACCTAAGTCGTGACAAAGCAGTCGATGTTTCAAGAAGAAGATGATAAGACCAATTGTACTGACAAGACTCGTCATAAAGAGCGCCTGTTTGTACTGAAGACTTTGTGCATTTGGAGTTATTAGACGACCCAATCTTACAGCGGTCAACATGTACGTGAGCGAACTAATCATAAACACTATGAAAATTTTTTCGTGCACCGCTGAAATATTTTTATTTATTCAATTTACTTGCATATCGATGACAGAGATGGTACAAGTAAGTTAAGACTTACTTACAGTAATTTTCTCTGTTAGAAATGTATGTTACACCACACAAAGCTGCTACTTCAGCAATATTTAGCCAGTAGCATAGGTTTAGGAGCCTGCTCCCCATAATTTTTAGAGGCACATCTTCAATGTTCTTAAGTATCTCGTAATAATATGAGTGATAAACACTGGCAATAACCAGTCTAGGACCAATATGTAATGCTATGCTGACACGCCATAAATATCTTTGTGGCGACACACCAGTAATGGCTGAGATCGATGGAAGAATATTGTAAACCTTTAACAGACAAATGTTATTGTTATCGATACATAGCTCACTTGTTTATCTTATCAATATCAGTATAAAATTCTCCCTTACCCTACAGTGAGTTTCATGAATATCATCCTGTTGAAATATGTATGCTGTGATGAAACAGAACAACAGCGATAAAAGTGGCAGCCCGACTGTTGCCAGGCACAGTTTTCGGAATGACAGCGCGAGATATACGGAACTTTTGTTGCTTCCAACATTGTTCAGTTCCATATTGGCAGCGCCGCTTAACATCCTGGCATTTGTGCGCAAAGTCAACGATGCGTTAACCCGAGGTAGGATAGACTCCAGTCAGCCAATTGTGCGATACAGGTTCATGTTGCCCTCCAGCACCATGTAAACTCATTCGATGTTCCTTGACATTACCTAATACAAAGAAATCACAGATTATTTATCATTCGCCAACGAAAAATCAAGTCGCACGGTGATCGAGGAGCTCGTTGTTGGAGGAGCCGGCACCCGTTGGGAAAGCGTGAGATCCAATTGCCAGCGAGGGACGAGCGGACATTGCGAAACTTTCTTGATAAAAATAAATCCGCGCAACGAGTGCGCCGATAGCACCGCCTCTGCTTTAGCGTGCGAATTGTTCGATGAGAACGTGGGGCTTGAACGCGTGAATCGCGTGGAGGAACGAGCGTGCGTCGTGTCTCTCGAGATATCACCTTTGGATGATTAAATTTATCATGTGAATAATAAGCTCGCACACACCGACGCTGATTTCATGTAAGCTTCACGTTACTCCTCGCCGTACCACCTCCGACCACTACTCGTCGTGCCGCTCACCTGTGCGATTGATTTTGCGAATAACCTACTTGCTCTATAAATAACGGGCGAGAGAGCGAGAACGCGGCCGTTTCACCATATTCCCAGCGTTCGCGCTGTCCGAACACCCGTTCCGAGCATCCGCGGTAGGGCGGCGAAAGGTAGGGGTTCGGAAAGTCAACGTGACAATCCCCGACGAGTACGCAATGCCGTGGCACTGCGGACAGACTGTCGCCCCCCGCTAATGACTCGCGATGAACCGGATTTCCGCGAATTCGATCGAGGATGACCGGCGGAGATCAACCGAGGGAGACTCCCGATCGGATGAATTCTTCGTGCAATCGTGGTGATTCACCTCCTCTTTCTTTCGTCATGAATAAATCGTATCGTCTGCTACGGACGCTCCGATTTCCCTCTTCCGACAGGATGTACTTTCCGCCGCTTCCGCGGAGTCTTCGCATTTCTCCCGCCCAGCGCCTCTGCGAGTTCACATTATCGGCGGAATTTTTAAACGCATCGCGTGTGATCAGGAAACGAATGTCCGATGTGCAGATCGTCCGTACATAAAATGTGAACATCTAAACGGTTTCCTAATATTAAGGTATCACATATGTGAATATGTGATTATTTGTGTATATTATTTTGAAATTTAAAAAATAAGAGATATTAAAAACAAAAGAATTTATTAAAAAATAACTTTCTTGGCATAATTTTTATGTTAGGATCTTCAAATTCGCAAAGAACTTAGTTTCATAATTGAGAACTAGTTTCATGATTGAGAAGGAATATTAAAGAAAATATAACGATCAGGTTTTTCTACTTCCAATAAAAATGGAAACATATCTTAAAATATTAATACTTTAAATATTGGTTAATTAGTGATCACCTAGTGATTATTCTTTGTCCATCAAAATATCAAATTTTATAGATATATAGAGATTTTCATAATTTTTATTATAAAGATAATTATATTTACATAGTACAATTTTGCTATATACGCGCTCGTTTTTTCTGTTGACCCTCTTGTTCCACTTCGTACTCGATTTCTACTCTCGCTCGTGATTTTTTCTGCGATTTTCCTTTCTTTACAACTCTCGGTCCCTTTGTCTTCTTGCTTGTGGATGGCTTAACTAAATCCTAATGAGACATGAACACAGTTCATAGTACAAAAGATTTATTTTAGTTATAATTAAGATTTATTTAAGTTAGAGAATTCTTACTTCGATATCACTAGCGTTGGATTCAAAACTGTCTGATAATTCAACTTCTTCCTTCTGTCCAGAGTCACTATCTTCATCCTACACAATATTTATAAAATTAAAAAAAAATTGTACTTTAGATAATAGTTTTAGATAGATAATAGTTTTATCACTTACCATAGAAAGCTCTTCAATATCATCATCATCATCATCCTCATAGTCATCATCGTCATCACTTTCAGCTTCAACATATTCTGGACCATCTTGTTCAATTTCTTTCTCGTCCGCTTCTAATTCCATTTCCAATTCTTTCTCGATTTCTCTTTCCTGCTCCTCTTGTTCGCTTTCTTCCTCATTTTCTCCTTCAACTTCGACAGATTCCACAGCCTTATCGAATACTCGTTGCGGGAAATTGTAAATACCCTCATACTGTAATATCAAGAGAATGATATTTTCAAAATGTAATTGATCTTTATAATAATGAATATAAAATTCAACATTACCATCCCCTTCTTTAATCTTTCCATAAGTTGTTTTTCAATTGCATTTTCTAATCTTGCAGCAATCAAAGCTTTTTCTTCCCTACGTCTTTCTCTTCTTTCGATCTTTCTCTGAAGTGGTACAATCTTCTTCTGTCGTCTTAATCTAAACTTTCTCATACGAATAAGATATTGTGTAATTTTGAGAAATCTTTGTTTACATTTTGCTTTTATGAAACCAGGCCAGTAAAGTAGATTTTCATTAATTTGTTGTATGGCCTTCTCAAAATTCCTAGATAACTTGACTTTCTCCCAACTATTTTTAGGTGTATGTATTCTAAAAAAAATTAATATTTTAATTAATACATATTAATTATATATTTGTATGAAAGAGTAAAAATTTTACAACTTACAACTTATATAATTATATTTAATTTGAAACTTGAATTTTATATTATTTGAAAAATGTATAATTTTTTATGTTATATGATATTAGTAATTTTGTTTGGAAAATACAAGTTAAATAAATATTCAATAATTGTCAATTATTATTGGAGCAAATCTTTATAGACATTACAAATCTAGAAGAATTTACAAACAGTAGTGAGCATTTGCTTAATTAGAATATTTTTTTAATATATTCAATATTATATTAACACAACTGCAATTTAAATACATAACCTACCTCTCTGCCGTCCTCATATAGAGATAAATAATACCATTTTCTTCTTTGATCGTAGCATATTGGCTGTTTGCAAGAGGACATGCAGATCTACTGCATAAACCAGTAAGATTGAATTCATTTCTACAGAATCGTTGCGTCTTTGTACTGTGAAAAAATGTTACAATTAATATCAAGATTAAGATAGTTACAACTTCTTTGTAGTTACAATTTTGTAATTACAACTTTGTTGTTACAACATTCTACGTTCATTTTTCATTTATTAAGGGTTCACTTACTTGACTTTGAAGGAACAAAATGATTTATTGATAACGCTCCACACAACCTATAAAACCATTATGAGTAAGATCACAACAATAACAGGAAATTATTAATATAAAGATTAAAAATTAAAAATTTTAAGTTAAAATTTCACTCACATCGTCGTGCTGCATTTTGTTTTAATGTGTTGCAATTATAAAAACAAATAATACGGTAATTATAAATAAATAAATATATGAATCTCTCTCGACATAACACGTGCGAACTGAAAGTGAACATTTGGTTATATTCGCGTTATATTTTGTCTCATCTATGCAGAGATGGCAGCAGTAACATTCTTTCAAACACAATATTTGTCGATAAAGTAGGAAACTCGAGAATATTTATCATGAGAGTAAAGATTTTGTCGAAAGATACGTTTGTCTCAAAAAACATTTCGAAAAAAACTCATAAAACATTGCAGAAATAATTTCGTCAAGAAATTTAATCCATTCTAAAAATAAAATTTTAAAGAGGATTACAAATAAATAAAATTGGGCTAAAATTCGATAATTTAAAAGATAAAATTTAATGCTTTTAAAAAAATAAGTTGCTTGGAAATAAAATTAAGTTTTCTTGATAGTTTCCAAAAATAGATTAATTTTAATGAATGGCGACCATATGTTTCACGTTTGTAATAGCGGTATTTCGGTTATTAAAAATACTAATAATAACATTGATAATTACAAAATTTATGTTAGATGGTGCAGTATAGTACAAATCAAGATCGCTATTCATAATCCATTCTTATTTCAAGGTTTTTTTTTTTATAATGGAAAATATATATTTAAAATGGGATAAGAAAATAATGAAAGATAAAACGTTTTATTTTTTACTTATATTCCTTAATTCCTTATATTCCTGTAAGAAAAAATTGTAAACAATATTTATAATTGTTTATTAATAAATAAGAATTTTCTGGATATTTACATATGTGCATATACACATAAATACAAATATAAAATAGAAATTTTTATTTATAGAAATAATTATAAATATTTTCTATCTTCTGTGCTTAATAAAAAATGTAGTTGCTAAAAAAAAATGTCAAGATGTACAATATTTAACTAACATTCCATTTTTTATTACGTTTGTTATAATAATTTTCAAAAGAATTTGGTATAGCAACAGATTTAAATTTATTTCTTTTTTTCCAAAATAAATTTTAAAATATATTACAAATAAATACTTTAATAATTTTTGAGTTGGATTTTTCGTAAAAAGTTTGTAATAACATGTAATTTTGATAATAATTTTAAAAAGCAATTTCACAAATGAAATAAATTATATTTTTTTATTTGGCACAATATTAACTTAAGAAACATTTTAGAAATCAAAAAGTCAAGTTGAAAATTATAATTATCTATATTTCACAAAAAATTTAGTTTTAAATTAAAAAAAATTTGTTTCTAAAACATCCTCAATTATCCTGCATAACAATCATTTAAATTATAAATTTTCACTCAGGAAAACTATATATCTTACAATGTCTAAGAACATTTAACATTTCGAGAATAATGTCTAAAGGGTTGCTTGCCAACTCAAGAAGCATCATGTAACCCCTCGCGAACTAATCACTGGATAATGGAGGAATTTATATTCGTGTGAGACCCCTCGACGATGGCGAAACGTCAGGTTGTCATCGCCTCGATATTTCCGTGACTCCAACCACGGTCAAGTTAAGTTTCTTAATTAAGAAACCGTCCATCCTGAATGTCTTCATCAATTGCGTGAGTCTCGCGGATTTAATATAGCCGCATGACGGAAATGTATTACAATTTCATATTCAATAAAAATTCTTATAAGAACGAAATAAAAAGTTTATTGACAATTAATAATCTTGTATTTATCAAAACCAGATATCTTTTCGAAATAATTCTTAAATCAAATTACTATGTGTAATCTTTGAAGAATTTGACTAAATTAATTTGATTAAATTATTAAATTGTATAAAAAATAAAACAATTTCAGTAAGTTAAATATCGAAGATGCGAAACATATTATCAATTTTCAAAAAATATTAGAGCTTATTCTTCAAAAAAATTTGAGTTTCTAAGAAAATTGTTCTATTTTGTTATCAAAAATATCTTGCAACAAAATAATATTTCTGCTAAATTTATATTGAAATGATATCGATCTCACATACGAAGAATAAGCTTATAGAATCTTTTTTATAATTTTTATCACATTTGTTTGCGCATATTGTTACTTCAATCATTCAAAAATATTTTCTTACACCATCTGTGATTATAAATTCCTATCTGATTTGAAAATGGTCATCATCCGAGAGACGCGTTTCGATGGGCAACTTTGATAGGTTGACAGTCGAATATCCAGCATTCGACACTACATTCACGTGTGCCGGACAACGGCAAAAAACGGAGATGAAGTGCGCGCGGGGAAAAGACACAACACAGTGGATATTTGCGAGCCCAAAGGGAGTTTCCCGCCATTCCGGTTGAGAGAGAAAGAGAGAGGGGGGGAGGAAGAGGGAGAGAGGGAGACGGCAAGAGAGGAAGAGGGCGAGCGCTTCCGCCTGATCGCCCACATACATTTTCGTTAAAACGCGCGTGTTCCGTCCGTTTCATTAATTTTAATGCCCGCCGAGCCCGTTCTGTTCATTTCTGCGCAACATATGAATATACCATCGCACCCTCTCTCGCGCGCATTTCCTAGCATACGCGCGTATGCTCTCTTTATCCTTGCGAGCGACATGCGTGGGCTGCGCGCGCGCGCGCGCGCGCGTGGCGCGTGTGTGCGTGCGTGTGTGCAAGCTGTATAATGCACCACCATGTGTGCGTGTGTGTGTGTGTGTGTGTGTGTGTGTGTGTGTGTGTGTGTGTGTGTGTGTGTGTGTGTGTGTGTGTGTGTGTGTGTGTGTGTGTGTGTGTGTGTGTGTGTGTGTGTGTGTGTGTGTGTGTGTGTGTGTGTGTGTGTGTGAGGCTGCGTACGCGAGCGAGCAGCGGGTTCGCTCATGCGAACGCGCGCGGTCTCCTCTTCTCGTCCTCCCCCCCGCGGGTTGGTTGATATTAATTAATAATCAGAAACAGATGCGGCCTCCGCTCGCGTCGCGCCGCTCTCTCTGCGCGCTTCGGAACGATAATTATTTAAGTGCCTCCTCTCTCATTCTCTTTCTCTC